AAACACAAAGAACAAATACAAATATTATATAGAATGTCTTCCCGTATTCACCCAAGGAAATTGTGAAGGTTACAGGAACAGGTTATCCACGTAAGAGGTCAAATGTTTAACTGTTCTGTCTAGGAAAATGTGACAGGAAAAGTGCATCTCAGCAGGTTTTTGTGTTTGTTTGTTTGTTTTGTTTGTTTGTTTGTGCCAGGGTCGAAATTCTTAAGATGGTGGTTTCAGAAGCTTTTCTTAAAGAAACAGTAAACTTCAACTTAAACTGTTGTAAGATAGGTGTGAAATTATGATTGGACAAAAGTTCTCGCTAAAAAGCACTTAAAAGTAACTACGCGTGAAACGCAAGAGAGCCAGAAGAAAATTCAAATGTAAGCATAGAAATATTTATCTTGCCATGCAGAGATTATTAAATCAACTCCAGGTTAGAATAACGTTTGCTAGAGGTAACTGAAGCGACCAAAATGGCTAAACGTAAGTAAGAGTGAGCTAAAAATGACCTTTCGCCAAAATAATGCTACAAGACGACCGAGAAGTGGAGAACGCATATACCGGGGATCAAATCCCCGTCCGATCAGATACCTCAACGCAAATACTTAAACTTCGCTTGACAAAACAGGAACATTAGCGGATTGATATCGGTATCGGCCGATGCTCCCAAGCTTCGGTATCGGAGCTGAAAAAGTTCAGTATCGTGCCATTCGTAACAGAAACAGACCAAAACGTTAGCTAAAAGCTAAGTTTCGTTACTCAACTTAGCAAAAAAAACCCCAAAAAAAACGTTACTTTGAAGTATCCCAGGAATAGTTAAGAATTTGCGTACAGTAAAACGTAGCTTAAAGATTTACAAAAACATAATGTTGAAGCTTCATCCACCATGTTCCCCAAAACCACAACCTGTTGAGGTGACAAACCCCTCTCTCGATAATTTCTGACCATGGTGTGAGTATATGGTAGTGTGTTTGTCTATGTTAGTCACAGTCATTCTTAGAGGTGACTGGAGTGAACGTAGGCGACGGCGACTCACAGCCTTTGTGGGTTTTTTTTTGTTTTTTTCCCCCCGGAGGTGCAGGCAGGAGTGCGGGAATTTAGGGACCAGTGTCTTTAATTAGTAAAGAATGTGTCATGTGCGTCACTGGATCTTCCCTCCGTGATCCCTAACGTGGGCAGCGTGCACGCACACACACACACACACACACAAATGCGAGTGCTAGCATACATCAGAATGTATGCTGACACAGATTAGAAAGATGAAGAGGGAAAACCTTTGGCAACACGAAAGCCAACGCGACGGCTTCCGTAGAGCTTTTAGCAGCATTTCATCAACCTTCAAAAAAAAAAAAAAAAAAAAAATAGAGATTTTTTTTTTTTTTTTTTTTAAAAACCTTTAAACACTACTTTTAAGGTAGTTTGACGAGCAGAGACATCGTTTGTCGGACTGAGCAGCCATTACTTATCAGGATAAAACATGAACGCCTACGGCATTGACAGGCGATGTCATCAAGTGCTTCCTTTTTTTCCCCCCAATAATACATCAATTCTAATAATAACTGCACACCAGGGGTCGCCGACCTTTTTGGAACTGAGAGCTACTGGTTTGATACAGACTTCCTGAACAATGTAATAATAATCAGTTCTGAATATCACTGCATGCGGAACTGATTCAAAAAGCACAGTAACCACAAAAGTACAATTTTTTTGGACCCTCTTGTTGATTTCTAGAACATAACACCTAAGGGCACCTCGAAGGCTGCCAGGCGACCCCCCAAGGGACCACGTTGGTGACCCCTGGTGTACACTTCCAAAAACTGAATCTGACAGAAGCTATGCCTGGTCTTACTTTATATACTCACAGAAACCAGAGGGACTTAGGCTTTAGAACAAAGACCCCCAACCTACATCAGACTAACGAACCGATTTTAAACCCCCAAGGGGGGGGGTGGTTCACAAAGACAGAGATAAGACATTAATAAGTCAAAGGAACCATATCCACGGGGAAGGAATAGTATGAATAAACGTCGTCCTTTCAGGATTCTCTTGCTGATAATAGGAGGGTGCGGTGTTTCCACCACGTCTGACTCCGTCTGTGTGTGTGTTGGCATCACACATGTGGACACACCAGCGCTAAAGGTGAATAGTGGGTGTGCTGCTGACATCATCGGCCCCGGCAGTGATGGGGATTCCCTAACAAAAAACACATTTCTCTCTCTCTTTTTTCTGTTTCTCATTATTTGCCTGGAGCTCGAAGGTTAGGTCTGTTTCTCATTTGCCTGGAGCTCGAAGGTTAGGTCTTTCTCCACCTTTTTTTTTTTTTCTTCTCTCTCTTTTTTCCCTTCACTCAAACTGGGAAACTAAACAGAGGTTTGATACTGATAAAACAAACAAAACCAGGGTGTGTGTATGTGTGTGTGTGTGTGTGGCGGGCTAATACTTGTTTTTCCGATATGCGCTTTAAAAAAAAAAAAAGATTTCACTTCCAACGTTCACATGGGTGCGTTGGGTTATCAGCTGATTGGAAAAACTTCTTGTACAGGAACTCAGATGTGGTCCAGGAGCCACTGGAAGAGGGGGGTACGCTGTGGTTCCCTGCCTCCCAGTGGTGACTCCTCTCTGACCTGTGACTGGCTGGAGCTCTGGTTCTCCTCACAGTATCTCAGCAGGGTGTGCAGCAGCTCTCCCACCCTCCACCTACGCTCCTGGAGCCTTTGAACAATCGCAGGAAGCTAGAAACAGGGCGAGAGATTAGGATACTGGATAACGGTAATGGGTATGGCTGTCAGCACTAACAATTATGTCAGAGGTCCCTAATGAAAACACTGAGGATGTAATAAGAACTAGTACAGCAGGATATACTGCTAACGATATGGTAGAGAGTTAGTTTAACATCCTTAATTTCCGAGGGATTATTAAAGTTTCCGATATCATCCGATACCGATACATGCACACGTTTCCCTCACAAATTGCGGTAAACATCTTAGTAGCCCAAAAGCGATTCCAGCATATTTGGCAGGGCAACGACCGATATTAACTTTTTGCTAATATCCGATATGCCGACACTGTGCAATCACTTAATTTCCGATTCCGATATCATCCGATACCGATACATGCAGGTTTTCCTCACAAATTGCGGTAAACATCTTAGTAGCCCAAAAGCGATTCTAGCAAATTTAGCGAAACCTAGGTATTGCATTATCGGGTTTTCATTATCAAAGGCAAAACCGATAACGATATCGTAGGTATTGCAGAATCGGGTTTTCATTATCAAAGGCAAAACCGATAACGGTATCGGACATTATCGGACCTCGCTCTGGATAATCCCTGATTTCGCACATAATTAGTATACACTAATTAGTATAATTTCTGAAGTTAGAAAAACTTTAGATTTTTATGTTATTGTCATGTAAATAATACATTTACCGAATGACAAAACAACAACAACAAAAGGGTAAAGTATGAGATTTAACAGTAAAATAATGTTGCATTGTTCCTATTGGTGGTTGGTTTTACCACTGCTGACAAAGGACCACCAGTGTTAGACAGACACCAACGTGAGAAAGTGATTTCAAAGAAACTAATTAGTGAGTCATGAACAGCTGGAGGAGAGGCTTTGGGTTCAGCCAAATGACTAACAGGGTGAGGTGAGGAGTTTTCTTTACCTGCTGGAGATCTCGGTCGGGACTCAGCTGGACACGAGGAACATCTGACACAGACGCTGCCAACCACTGCAGCATCATCCTGAACTGATGGTCAGTGGCCGCTTGCTGAACGGCACCACAGCTGCGTCTCAGATCCCTAACGTCGGAGTTCAGCACCAGCAAAGCAGTTCTGGGAGTGTGAACCTTTGGCCTTTCTACACACACAGTCCCTAGAGCAAAGAGGGAAGGGCATGGTCAGAACAGGAATCTTTTTTTTTTAAACAGTAAAGTCACTGTCTGATCTATCTATCTATGTATCCATCCATCCATTCATCTATCTATCCATCCATCA